ACCTGCCACACCATCCCGCAGCAGGGAATGAACCAGTCCTCGCCCTCACCTCTCAAAAGCAAAGCATGACCCGATGCAACAACATTCCTTCATGGTCACCGCGAGGACATGCGTCCCACACCACCCACCGCCGTTAAACCCATTTGAGCCAACGCAGTGCAGCTGGTGCTTTGCAGCGTGGCAGGAGGTGACCCCCCTGGGGCACACGCGTGTGCACGGACAGTTCAGGGGTGATCTCTAACACAAGTCTCTCTCGTGTCCCTCCTGGTGAAGCACCAGTTACCCTCCTTGCACGGAGCAGCACCGAGAAATTGTCTCCCTTGCTCAGGGTGACGGGGCCAGCCGGTGCCAGCAGCCCGGGACTGTCACCCTGGGGTTCCCAGCACCAGCCCCACTATTCTCTAGGAGTCACCCCCGTAACTAGTTACGGCCGTGGAGCCCCAAGCCCGTCGCTGCGGTGCGGAGCCCCATTGCTGCCGGCGGCGGCTTCACAATCGCGATATGACAGCGCCACCTCGTGAGGTGGCCCCGCTCGCGGGGACCCTGCGGGGTGCGGGCAGCTGCCCGCGCCCCCGCCCCGCCGGGCACCGTCACGCGTGTTTTAACCTGCCCGCACCCACCCAGGTGACAGTACCGGGGACGGCAGCCACAGCGACAGAAGGGGATGTGACATTCAGCGCAACCGCCTTTATTGTTAACGGAACACAGGGGAGCGGACTCACTTCTCCGCTGCCAGGCACATCGGAGACGCCAGGCACGATGGTGCCCAAAACCTGGGTGGCACCAGCGGCTCTGACACTGCAACGTTACGAACAGGGAGAATCGAATACCCACCTGGGGAGCAGATTTCTCCTCCTGCCAGGGAAACAGGTCACTGCTGCAAGCGAGAGAGATGTGGTTCCTTCCTTCTTTCTTTCTCCTCGTCTCACTGAAGGGTCTCCAAGGTTGGGGCTCAGCCCCAGACCTGATGAAGCAGGACAGCTAATGAGAAATCTGCCACTGCTCTGTCCAGGGTAGATGCAGCAGAGTCTCCGGCGAAATTCCCGTCACCAGATGCGCTGACAGCAGCTGTGCACAGTGCAGAGGTGCTACCAAGAACCTGGTTCGAAGACAAGAAGTTTACGCAAGTTGGGAGCGGGGAAGAGTTTCCTTTCAGGACTGCCCAAGTGCGTTTGCAGGGCTGGCGATTAGAAAAGAGACGTTTCCCTGAAGGACAGCACAGAGAGAGGTGCTGAGCGCCCTGCAGCCCCTGAGAGCCCTGCAGCACCTCCCCCCACCCCGAGGAATCACTTGTGTCATAAGCGGCGTGGCACTCCACAA